GTTTCGCTTGGATACTCCACCAGGCACTGTTTTTACATGTCAAGAACCAACCACTTTAACTTCTTCCCTACTTCTACATTTTTCTCTCTGCTGTGGTATCACCACCCACCCAGATTATCCAGCTAGAAATCTTGAACCTCTCTTCCTACACGTAAACAGCCAGCACATTCTCATTCTGTCCTCATTCCCCAAATATTTCAAGTTCACTCAGAATCTTAATTCTGTGGTTCCTGTTGTTCTTCCAACTCAGGATACCATTTCTTCATTTATTTCTGACAATAGTACCTTCCAGACACCTATTCAGACATAATCTTGCCTTTGAAGATTTCCTGTCCCCTTCCTCAAAAGATTTAGGAAGCTTTCTAAAAGGGATATCTCATCATGATGTTTCCAAGGAAAAAGGCCATGTGCCTAATTGGAGGTTGTTTCTAATAACCTCTTTCTCCAGGTGAGTCATCAGTGACCAGCACAACACCAGGACATGGGTACTTGAGCTTTGAATCCCTAGCTACTTAAACTGTGGTCCAGAGGCCCGCAGCATCAACATTACTTGGAAACTTGTAAATGTAGAATCTCAGATCCCTTCCCACACCTGCACACTGAATCCTGCACTTTAATGAGATTCACAGGGATGCTTGTGGTATTATTTTTTTAAATTTGATTTTTTACATCATTCTTCATTTTGTGGCTTGTGGTATTTTAAATGTATCTGTCTCATGCTCAAAGCTCATTGTTTTTCCCAGAGTGTCAGATTCTCCCAAAACCATACAACCAAGTGTTCTGTATGTGTATATAGAGGGAGTTATTTTCACAGCTGTCATCTGAACTTCTTGTGGGGTAATTCTATTTAGGATTATATTGTTGGACTGTTTTCAGTGAGAAGATATTGAAACCCTGAGGACATGATCTGGGAGGAGTGAAACAAGGCAGAAGCTAAAATTCTTTGTATGTAAAAAAAAAACAACAAACAGAATAAAGTGTAGAGGAGAGCTAAAATGAAAGAGGAGGAGGTCAGTGTTGCACTTAATGTATGAATACATAATATTCAGATTTTAAGTGATTTGCTCTGTAGACATGTTGTAGTTCCTCTTCCTTCATCATTGGAAATGTTCAGGATAAGTGGTATTTTGGGAAAATTGAGTCAGTCAGGTTTTATAATTCTGGCCAGTACTAGATCCATTACCAAGTGTGAGGTGACCTCAGCTGATGTCTAACACTGGCTACCGCATTGTTAACCTTCTATAATATAAAAAACACACCTTTATTTATACTTTGTCATGTGTTGATATTCACATTTCCCTCATCTCAAATAAATTGGTCAAAGTGTTAGGGATATGAGAAATAATCTTGTGTTCCCTGTTAACTGGCATAAGTTAAGAAAATTTCTAGCAGAGCCCAAGTTACATCCTAGTAGTAAAGTAGAAATACTGTCATTGAACATTGCCTGCATTGTGTCTGGGAGCCTAAGAAAGTTACAGTTCCTCAGCATTGCTTTCTTCTCCAATATAATATAGTTAGTAGAATAACCTGTGTCACTGCTAAACATTAACGGAAATAATGCATCTCCGTTTAGGACATTTATTTCCCTTCACTTCCCATGTTTAGGAAAAAGAAAGGCTACTAAAATTAACAGTTTTCAGAAATTTATTCCTAAAAACATTTTCAGGTAACATTAACATATGACTGTGAAGTATTTTCCAAGTAGTAAACAATGAAATATATTGCTGTTATAAGGAGGGAAAATAACATTTTTAAAAGTACAGTATAAATCTTCACTAGTTAAGGTAAAACTATTCTATAACATATATTTTCAAAATCACAATGGCTTTAAAAAACCATTTTTAGATGAGGTCCAAAAGGAGGATTTCTGATAGGCAATGAGTCTTCCAAATACCAGTACGGGCAACCACACTTCTTTGATCTTGTGCTCTGCCATTTTCAACCTGTGACTTCCAAGGTCAGGATGCAGTCACTGATCACACCTAACTATGAGGGTAGCTGAGAAATGGGGGTGTCCCAAAGAAAGGGGTGATGCGTATCACTAACTAGGCAGTCTATGCCCAGAATGTTTGGTCTTCTGTTTCTAATCAGTTCCTGGAGGTCTAGTAGTGAAAGTTAATGGTTATAATATGAGCCCATGCTACAAAAGGCTTAGTTGTCAAAATAAAAACCTTATTGAATTCATGCATGACGCCACTAAAGCATGAAGCCAAGGGTTGAAAATCAAATAATTTTTAAGTTCATCCTGAATTAGATAAAAATTAAAATACTTGTTTTGAGACTTACAGCTAATTCACATTTTGCTGTCATAACATGGAGAGCTGTCATTGTAATTCATGAGTGAAGTGCTGGAGTTGGTTGGTACCATGGATTCTAACAAATGTGAAGGCTTAAGTAAATGCTGTGGCTTAAGTCATTCTGGTAGAGGCAATAAAATGGCTGTTTGAATGGCTCAGCGGGGATAAGGGGCATCACAAGATCAGAAGAATGTATGCAGGAGTGGAGCTATGTGACTAAACCTAACAAGTAGCTGGCTAGCCTGGGACAGTCAGTCTGAGAACTGTTGGGGTAAATGTAGAGCCAGAATCTTGTGGAGGGAAAAAAGGTATGGAAAAGCAGGCCTTACATAGCATTAGCCAAATGGAGTGAGAAAATATGGAACAGACTGTTTGTCTGTCATGGGTAGCTGGTGGAATTTCTAAAACTGCAAACACCTCTCTTTATGATGAATGAGATCAGGAAATCTCATAGACTATATGATTGAAGGAGTCACTTGGAAAGTCATTTATTGCCCTTGCAAGTCTCCAGATGCCTTGGCATGAGGTGAGATAAAAAGGCAGCCTTTTCGGGAAAAGAAAATGCATCATATAACAGCTGCCATTACTGAGCATGGATGGGGGGTCTTTGCTAGGCACTTGCACATCTCTATTTCAGTTGAAGGGAACTTGCTAATTTTCTTTCTTTTGAATGAAATGAATAAGTTATGTCAAATCACATTTAAAAATAGCGATTTTGGAGGGATAACCCGCCTTCGTCACTAAAAGTGATGGGAGGTGGTTTGCTAAAGATGAATATATTCAGAAATATAAAAGTTAAACTTGCTGATAACAATATTTAAACTGGTTGATTTGGATTAAAGTTTTTCTATTTGACATTATTTTCTAAAGAATTCATTAGTGATCGAAAAACATTTTAAAGAAAGTAATTGCCCAGGCTCTCTGTGTTTATTTATTTTGGACTAGGCACTATGTTTTCAAGAAAGTAAAAGTGTACTTATTGCTTGTTTGATGTCTTTGATTTGGGGAGGAAAAAGTATTCCTCAAACATTGGAGTCACTTGGGGAGTTTTAAAAATGCTGATCCCTGGGTCTTACTCCTAAAGTATGGCATTTTTGAGGGCGCTGTTCTTGAGTATTACTGGTATATGACAGAGGATGGGAAAAGGTGGGTCAAGCCAGATCACACGGGTCGCTTGGGCTGATAAGGTTAGGTTATACTTCATAGACAGGGGATAGTTACTGAAGAATTTTGAGCAAGATATGATCTGAGGAAATGAGACCATTTGTGAAAATATAGTTTCCCCCACTATCCAAAAGTAAAGCATTACTATGAAACTTACATAAATCAAAATGGTGTAAAAAATCAGAAAAATAATTGAGCATTCCTGTACCCCAAAATATAAATAACAGATAACTCAAATGCACTCAAATAACATACCATCTAGTAAGAGCACAACCTGTGATAAATATACAACCTGCACCAAGTAGTTCCAGGGGAAAGGGCCTGGTGGGCCTTGTTGCTCTGGATACCGTGGCGTCTTGAATCACTGCTGGGACACATAACACCATTCCTGCTTTTCTCCTTTTGGCGTAAAAGCGAAAATCCTCTTCACCTTGCTTTCAGTCAATAAGAACAGCTACTAATGCACATTTTTTCAGAAAAGTGGACGGACATAGCAGGCACATTCAAAAAGCTGGAGGTACCTGTAATCAAACGTCCTGCCTGCTTTTACACCATACTTCACTCCAAATGAAGGATGGAGTCCTTTTAGAATTGTGTCTCTTATAGAAACTAAGGAAAAAGTGAGTTAGTTTCTGCATTTGTTGAATTCTGTCAGTTGAAAATGTGGTAGTTACTTAGGCACATATACAGATTCCAGAGCTTTCTGGGATGTCTGAAGTACATATTGTATGTAGGCTACAATAGAGAAAGATGTTGACCCAGTGAACCTTAAATACAGCATATGGAGGAAGTAGAAGTGAGAAAAGTTCTCTATTTTTTAACAAAACTGTTAAAATGTCTACCTGGGAGTCATGAATTTCTCCACAGCATTCTAATGGGCTTCTTAATCACTGGCCCTAGGGCAAGACCACTTTGTTTTTATTTTACAGAAAAGAAAGTCCAATTAATGTAATGAAAACTTAGAATGAGTAAGAATTAGCAAACATACAGAGGGGGGAAAAGCGATGGTCCAATATCACTTAACTTGGCTTGTAGGTTAAAGGGAGAAACACACGCACAGATGCACACACACATGCATGCACGCACACACACGCAGATGCACACACATGCACGCACTCACGCACACGCACTCACGCACACACACACATTTACACAGGTCCAGTATTTTAGCAGTAAAACCCAGTATTTTAGCAATATACAACAAATATAATCAATATACAACAAATTCAGAATTGCTTTACGTTTCCCAAATGCTAAGACCCCATCCCAGTGTATACATATTTATTTCCAGTTAACTATTTTCTTATTGCTAAATACATTACTTTGACAATATACAACAGGGAATGTTAACAGCCTTTGCTTTTATTTCCTGGTGTGTGTACAGAGCTTCCACCGCCGAAGGTTTTGGGCTGGCAGGCATCTGGGTGCCTGGGCGGTTCATACAATGTATCCGCGGGTGTTGGCCGGCCGCTGCACTCCGGTCAGCAGATGTTGACAGCTGGCTCCCTCCGTCCTGCCAGCAGGTGTTGGCTGGCCAGCTCAACACCTGAAAATGGTGACACTGATGCCCAGATTGCCATTTTCTGCAAAAAGCTGGGCCGTGCTGGAGTCAAAAACCAGGCAGTCATTCTTCCTGATGGCTGTTTCAATTCCCTCGTGGATGGATTTCGGTTTGGCCTCCCAGGTCAGTCGCCGCTGCGATGCGTTCAGCTCCAGTCGGTAGATGAAATTTTCGGCTTGCTTGCGGTTCCCGATGAGCAGCACGATTGCAAAGAACTGCTGCTGACCGTGACATTTCTCCTGCTTCTCGAGGACGAGCATGAAGTGCGAATCGAAGCAAGACTGCATCATCACCCAATCTATGGCCCCGGGGAGGGTGATGTCGGTGGCCAGGAACACGATATCCTCGCCCTGCAGGGTGGTGATGCACTTGTGCTGCTGGACCAAGTGCGCCACGATGGTGTCCATGCGGCCTTGCCACCGGCAGGCCGAGCCGGGGCAGGGGCACGGGTAGCGGCGGTAGTCGCAGGTCTCCTCGTGCTCTGCGCGCTCCTGGTGGGGCAGCACATACTCGCAGCCGAACGGGTTGTATTTGCACGGGAACAGCACGGAATTGGCCACCTTCTCCATTGCCAGGTTGCGGATGGTGCCCAGCGGGCCGCGGCAGGTCGGACAGCGCGTGAGCTTCGGGCGGCAGTCGTGACATACCAGGTGACCGCTCTGGCACTGCAGGATGGGCGGCAGTGCGTAGTCAAAACACACCGGACACTCGAAGATACTGGCCAGGTCGCTGTTGGAGGCCATTGTGCTGCTCAGTGTGGACATCCTCCGGGGCGGCGACGCCGTCGAGCTCCTGGGAGGCGAGGTGGGCCTGGCCGGGGGTGTCGAGCTGCTCGTCGAGGCAGCCGTCGACGGAGGCGTCGGCGGAGGCGGCGGCGGTGGCGGCGAGGGCTCCTCAGAGCCGGAGCCGGAAGCCGAGCCGGACTCTGACTCATACTCGCTCCTCGGCCGGCGCCGGCCGGAGCCCCGACGGCCTTGGCCCTCAGCCCCGGCCACTGTGGACGGCTCCGCCGACTCGCTGAAGTGAAGGCTGATGCGAAGGTCGGGCAAGGAGAACCCGCCCAGAGGAGCTAGACGATGGCGTTCACCCTCCAGCTTGGCGCCAACGGTCGCTCTTCGTCTGTGGAGAGCGGGCTCGGCAATGGACCCCTCAGCCGGTGCGCCCCTCACTGGCTGCCGCCGAGCGCGCTCCTCATTGGCTGCCCGTCGGGAGCTCGCCCCTGATTGGCCACTGCCGAACATGCCACGCTGCACGCAACAGCTGCCTGTGTGACGTGGCCTGGCCGCGCGCCCGTGCCACGCACCGCCGCGCGCCTGCCCTGTGGCCGGTGGCCCGGAGGTGCCATCTCGGAAGGGGCTCACGTCACCCTGCGACCCTGTTGACTGACCAGCCGGGACGTCCAGGGCGCAGCGCTTTCGGGGCTGACCTGATGGCCGGCCCAGGCCCGTCCCGGGGCCTAGCCGCCCCAGCGCAGACGCAGGCAGTGGCGAGGCGAGGGCCTGGCGGCTCAGGGGGCGCAGCACGCCCTCGCTGGGGCTCGCCCTGACGGAAGCCCGCCCAGTGGAGGGAGGCCTGGCCGCTGACTGGCGCCATGCCGCCTTGCAGCATCCTGAGGCATAGCAGTGACGAAAGTCACACCCAGCGTTTGTTGCGTAAGGGCGAAGAAAGTGGTGTGGAGGCTGTTGAGTTTCCCTCTCTCGCTGCCCTCGGAGGTGCTTTTCCCGCCCAGCAGACACACTGGTTACAGACACGCAGGCAGACAGGGACGTTAATACCTCAGTGCGGAGACTTTCCTGTCACTTTCAGGCCTTTGAAAATAATGAGTATATTTCTCTTCTCATTTTTCTCCCAAGCCTAGAGTTTGAAAAATGGAATCAACGGAAGAAATGAAAAGCACATTTAAATGAGGGGGTGGATGGGAAGATGACAAGGTGAGAGGACCTGGGCATATAGAACGCGGATTCCAGGCGTTAGGCTGCATGTGAGGATTATGTAAAAACCACACCCAGCTCTCCCACATACTTACGGGTCCCTGCCCCACTCCAGCACCAGCCAGGTCTGAACCTGACACTTGTCATTTACTCGGATTTTCAAATACTCGGAAATATGACATTGATGTTTTCGCTTACCTGCAACCTCAAGGTAAACTCTTGTCTCTGATCATGAGTTTGTTTCAAACTGTTAAACTCCTGGAATATTCTAATTTGCAATGTGTATTTCAAGGAGGTAAAATTGGTGGAAGAAAATGAACAGGGCTTAGATACTCGATTGCAAATATGCTCCAGAGAGACTAGAGGAACTCATTGACATTCTCTGGAGCACTGTAAGCTTTTTGAAGCGAGCTTCCTTTCTAATAACTCAGAATTTTCCCAAGGCACCTTCCAACTTGTGTGTGATGGACAGGTTAATAAAAGCCAAACTGCTGCATTCGGAGACCATCTCACCCTTTCTTTAGCGTGGAGAACAGAAATGAAATTTTCCTCCTACGCCTGAGTGATGTGAGGATTGAAATACATTAACTTCCTTCTACCTGCCTGCTTCCGGCCTTTAGGACTGAACCTCCTTCCTGAAATTATGCCATTTTTGTTTATCCCCAGAAGTAAGGGCTGTTTTACCCTTACTTTTCCAGTATTAACTATCTCACGTGTGGGGTAGTTTTGCCAGTAGACTATCCAACTATTACCGAGTATTGTTAGCATTTGACCAAGGAGAATCCAGGGGCCCCGTATGAACTGGGTGCATGTTCTGAAATGGGGTGCTGCCATCTCCCACATGCTGCAAATGTGACAGATATTTAATGGAATTAGTGTGCATGGAAAAGAAAGAGGAAAGGGGGTATTACCAGTAGTTTCAATGAACACCCCAAATTTCTCTTCCCCTTGTGGGCAGATGCCCAGCCAAACCCAAAGTAATGCCAGTGAGGCTCCAAAGCTTGCCACAAGTTTAGGTCTTTTCTGGTGGTGGGGCACTAAGAAAGGGGGTGAAATGGATCAGGCAAGTCTGTGACAGAAGGAGTAAAATAAAAGTTCAGGTCAAAGTAATGGCTGCATCATCTTGTTGTCTCGTTAATGGTTGTCTCTGCCAAGGACAACTTCCACAGGCATGTCACCGATGGGTCGACTGACTCTCCTTCACATGTCTCCTCCAAGTCCTGCATGCAGTTTGGGCAGCAGAAGCAAGAACTGACCCTTCAGACTGCCTGCCTTCCGTGCCATCTAGCTTTACCTGACTTCTCAGCTTCCCGGAGGCTCCCATAGCGAGTCCAAGGAGGCTGCATTTAGTGGGAGTGGGGAGCGTGCTGCCTCTTCTAACAGTATTGGGGCCTAGAAAGATCACAGTGTCCAGAGACAAGAGACTCAGGACCTCGTGGTGGCTCTGCAGCCCCGAGTGTCATGGGACACGGATTCAGATTTATACATTTATGCTGTGCCTCTTACACATGTGTGTGTGCGCGTGCACACACTGGCTTGCAGTAAAGATGCACAGTATTGGGCTCATACTGAAATGAGTTCATGGTAAGGGCACAATCCCCAAGACTGTCCTCCAACTGTCCTCCGCTCAGATACCAGGGATAGTCCCAGGCTCTTGTAGCCACAAGCTGTACACTGGAGGTTCCAACTCAAGAAGCCAATGGCAAATTTAGGTTGTCACCTGTAAATCAGAGGTTCCCACGTCCCCCTCCTTAGCTCAATTAAATAGCTAGAGTGGCTCATAGAACGCGAACATGGTACTTACCAGATCACTGGTTTATTAACAAACGATACAACTGCACCTGATGAAGACATACAAAGGGCGATGTCCTCAACAGAAGACCTTCTGTTCTAAAGGAGTTTAGGGCCATCATTACGGCACATGTGATCATCAGTCCCCCAACTGAGCCCCCTCTTATGGATTTCTATGATGAACTAGGCCATTGATGACAGACTCAATCTTCACCGCTCCCCAAAAAGGAGGAGGTAACCCTGAAAGTTTCGTCATCTCTGTTCAGGGCTGACCAGTGTGTTAAAAGCCCCTGTTTATTAACATAAGCACAACTGGTGGAAACTGGGTATGAGTAACGAGACACCCACTTTACAGGTCATGCTCTGAAGTGGTTTCCAGAACTAGGACCCGAATATTAGATGAGAAGATGCTTAATATCACGAAATTCCAAGGTTTTAGAAGCTGTGAGCCAGAAACGGGCTGAAAACCAGACCTTTGGAAATATACTTTGCATGTTTGAATGACCAAGTATGGCTGTAGTTGTTCTCCAGCACAGCCCTGCAATGCAGTGACAGTGGGAAGGCAGGAGCCGCACGGGTAGGCAGCCGTGGGGACCCTGCCAGCGGATGGACAATTTAGGCAAAAACTTGTAAGCAGGACACTTGTACTTTCCTTCTTCTTAACAAAGTCAACGTCTAAGCCTTCTTCCTCGGGAGATCTTAAGCTACACGTTACTCATGACTTAAACCATTTCACAAAAAACCAAGGATGCTATGATCCCACGGCTAGTGAACCTCATTATATAGCAAAGACATGCTCTAAAAGGGTGGTGTCTATTTAGTCAGTTGGCCACTCAGTTGAATTATGGGAAAATGACCCTAGGGTGGGCCAGGGCCTCATGTTACCTGTTGTAATATTACATATGCTGTGTCACAGGAGGCAGGGGCCTCCTACTGCTTCTCTAACCCTCTTGAGTCTCCTTCAGCTACATTCTGCCACCCATTGGAAAGGCTGGAATGTACTGGGGCTGCTGTTTGCATGGCCTTTTGCCCATGGAACCTGCTGAGACTGTGCCCCAACATCTGCAGGAGCCAGACTTCAATAATTTTATTATGAAGCAGTTTTCCAACATCAGACACTCTTTGTCTCTTAAAGTGTAATCCTGACTCTATCCTGTTTAAGGATGCGGGAAATATTTAGGTGCCTTTTCCTTGAGGTACAGGATATAGAAGAAACAATGTGCAGGTTACTTGTGAAGCTTGAAAGCTCTGTCCGAAGTGGTCATACCTGCCTGGACAGCAGGCAGGTGGAGAAGCCGAGTATCTTCTCTTATTACCCCTTCCTGTCCCTAAGCCCTTTGCCCCACCAAAGGTTACCGCAAGACTGGCTTCTAACAGCATAGATCAGTTTTACTTGGCCTTTCATACTCTACAGAGATGAAATTGTAAGGTGCTGCGTTTGTGTCTCGCTTCTTTCCCTCCACGCTGTGAGATTCAGGTTATTGGAAAATTTTAAACGCAAAAGTTCAATTCTTGTTTATCCCTTTGAGGGTTAGTGTCTGGTATGGAGCAAGAACAAAGTATTTCTATTAGAAAAGTTGATTCTCGGGGCCTTAAAAATCCAGCCCTTGGAGTTTAGAGAACACTTTTTTTCCCCCAAATTATTTCTTCCTTATTTTGTTTTTCTTAGGAATCAAGCTCAGGTTATAATTATTTATGTTTCTTATGACGAGTTAAGGTTGATTACAAAAGTAGCTGTAGCCTTGAGTATGGAAGCCTTGCACAGAAATCATATCAGAACAATTTCTTGAAAGCATTTACATGTGGAAGTGGCACTCGACCCTCACTCCAGCCACCCAGAATATCCTATGTGCATGTTTCATGTAAATCAGGATGTGTTAGATTATTTGTTGACGATTCTTTATTATGGCTGCTTTTCTGTGTTATATGCTTTAAAATGTAGATGAGCAGAGCTCGGTACCATCGAGAGTGGCGAACGGGGAATAAAAGGCACATCTTTGGTTCTGATCGCAGACTGTGCCAGCTTGCCCTGGAGTTCTCGCAGCCTCATTTCGAAGGCCACCTTGAGCTAGTGTCTCAGAAAGGCTCGCAGACTGGTCTGGGCACACGTGAGCTGCTGCCTCCCTGTCCTGTGCGCAGCCGGTCTGGCTCCTCCTGATTGCCTCCTGCTGCTTTCCAGGGCTTGCTTCTGCTCCATCATCTGTTTTCCTTTGCACTGAAACCTCCCTCACAGTCCACCTTTTCATGAAGTCTCTGCCATCAGCCACCCGCGCCCTTCTCTTCTCATCCTCATGGTTCATGTTACTTTCCCATGCTTCATGTTCTCTGTTTTTCTTTTTTCAAATTGGTTATAAAGTCCACCGCCAAAAAGAAAGTGTGTGTGAGGGGAGGGAGTTAAGACATATTAAAAAGGACATGATTTGTACACTTTTTTATTTTTATTTATGCTTACAGAACTGGGGTACAGGCCAGAGGTGTGGTGGGTGAGAGGATTCACCAGAGACAGAGTGGGGAGCAGG